TGTGTGTGTGAGTGTTTATGTGTGTGTTTATGTGTGTGTGTTTGTGTCTGTGTGTTTATGTGTGTGAATGTTTATGTGTGTGAGTGTGAGTGTGTGTGTGTGAGTGTTTGTGTGTGTTTATGTGTGTGTGTTTATGTGTGTGTGTTTATGTGTGTGAATGTTTATGTGTGTGTTTATGTGTGTGTGTTTATGTGTGTGTGTGAGTGTTTGTGTGTGTTTATGTGTGTGTGTTTGTGTGTGTGAGTGTTTGTGTGTGTTTATGTGTGTGTGTGAGTGTTTGTGTGTGTTTGTGTGTGTGTTTATGTGTGAGTGTTTGTGTGTGTGAGTGTTTGTGTGTGTGTTTGTGTGTGTGTGTTTATGTGTGTGTGTTTATGTGTGTGTGTGAGAGTGTGTGAGTGTTCATTGGTGTGAGTGTTTGTGTGAGTGTTCATCGGTGTGTTCATCTGTGTGTGTGTTCATGTATGTGAGTGTTCATTGGTGTGTTTGTGTGTATTCGTGTGTGTGTGTTCATCAGTGTGTTCATCTCTGTGTGTGATCATCTGTGTGTGTGTTCATCAGTGTGTTCATCCGTGTCTGTGTTCATCCGTGTGTGTGTGTGTTCATCTCTGTGTGTGTTCATCGGTGTGTGTGTGTTAATCGGTGTGTGTGTTTGTGTGAGTGTTCATCTGTGTATTCATCCATGTGTGTTCATCTGTGTGTGTGTGCATGTCTGTGTGTGTGGGTACATACATACACGTGTGTGTGTGTGTCTGTGTGTGTGTCCACACATGTCTTTGCACATGTGTGTGTCAGTGTGTGCCCCATCCATGTGTGCATGCCCTGTGTGTATTACTGTGAAGCTGTCTGTGAGGCTGTGTGTGTACACACCCCTCTGGGTGTGAATTCTCACTGTGTGCACACGCGCCCCTGGGCATTGTGTGCACCGGTGTGTGCCCAGGGCATTGTGCACCTGTGTGTGCCCAGGCATTGCATGTGTGCCAGGTGCATGGCTGTGTGGCTGTGTGCACCTGTGCCACAGTGTGAGTGCAGAGCTGGGTGTTGCACACCTGTGTGTGCATGCATTGGGTGTTGCACATGTGGCAGGTGTGGGACACACACATTGACACATGTCCACTTGGACACCTGAGTGTGTGCAAGGGGTCTTGTGTGTGTAGGGCTGTGTGTGTGTGTGTGTGTGTGTGTGTGTGTGTGTGTGTGTG